CAGTACGTCAGAGCACTGAAGCAACAGAGATAAGATAAATAGCCACCCTCTCCAGATCAACAGTGTATCATCGGGAGGGACAGAAAATAAACCCACAAGCCTCATTATTGCGATAAAAATTAAAACAGTGAGAATCTGAGAGTACCCATGGACAGGTGGAGGAAGGGAATTGTGGGTAAAAAAGTACTGGATCAGGGAATGCTGGGAAAAACTTACAGGAAATGAGATAATGGTGGAATAAAATCTGTCTGGAAGAATTACAGGTAACTTGAGGAAATCTTAACTCCACCAGGTGCTCAATGAAACATGATTAATCCACAAGACTGTTCATATGACCCATGTCAGCTTCTTGTAGCCATTTTAATTAATTTTTTTCCCCAGTTGCAATTATGCAACACTTGAAATGTATAAGTGAGTTTTAGTTGGGACGACATGTCTGTGGGATGCACTCACCGGAATTCACAGAACTAACTACTTAGTGGATATCCGCCATGCCAACTTTAGACACATACATTTGCTGATCTTACAAAAGGATGGCCGAAACTTAATTTGAACCCACTGGGTTTGTTTCACTGCTTTCCTCTCATCATTGAAGAAAACCAATGGTCATAAAAAACTGAACTTTGACATAAAATAACGACTTGAATCTCAGAATGAGTGAGTGAGTTGAGATTTGCACTTTTCGCATTGAGCCTTATCATGACATGAGATGTATAAAAGAGTAACAAGTATAATCAATTTGAAATGATGCTTCCTATAAGTAAAGCATACAATATAACTAGCATATGTACTGAGAAACCTTTACTTTGACCAAAGATTCTGCCTCAAAGAATGGTATTGTATGTTATTTACCCATCTGTTGATGTGCCTGATTGTGGAGTATATTTCAGGTATGTGCCCGGTTGTATGGAGCCAGCAATTAGGCCTATCCCGGGTCATGTGCACAGCATCAGCAAGAAAACAGACCCTTGTTGATGGTGGAGCGATGCTTACATTCATGGGCTACTGAGGTCTTTGTGGATGTTAGATGTACCATACCTTTCCCATAGTTAAACCTAGACACCAAAACATGGCTAGTATAGATAAGAAATGTTAACGAGTGTCATAAAGCCATACAGGTAAGCACAGGTAACATGTAGTAGGTCAGTTCTGTATGTACTCTAATCCTCTGATTGCCTCAGGTAAGTCTTTCACACCTGTCATACCCCTTACCTGGCCATACAACCAGGTGATAACACCCACTCACCTTTCTACAGGTATCAACACTACCTCTGGGGAATATGATGTACTCTATAAGTAACTTGTTGTTGATCTGCTTATCCCAGAAGGCGTGAATCACGAGAAATCCTGATAAAGTAACTGATTTGACCAGAAAGAGATAAGGTGAATTTTAGGTTAATTTTAAAGTTTTACTGAAACGTTATTAAGAATTATTTCAGGATTCAAAATTGGTATTTTTGGCTGTTATATTTACATCTTGTATGTTAATGAAATACAGTTTAGTGAGACATTATCAATTAGCGAATTTAATCCGTATTCGTAATTGGCACTTATTACTCTCATTAATATTCATTAATTACAACAAGCACACAAAACCACAATCTCTCTTCTTAACCTAAAGTAAAACGATGATTGAGCGAGAATGAATATCGCCTGATGTTCTAAGACAAATCGACCTAATCACGTAGAGAGCATGCAATGAATAGGATGGACAGAAGCAGCTATGTACAAGAGCTATTGAGGAGAGTCGTCAATAGCAGAGGTTTACTTCCCCTCTGTTCTAAGTGACGCATGTATCAAACATTGACAGTTCTGACAAGCCAAACTAGCAATCAAATAGTGCCTGTTGCTGGATCTGCAACGCCACATGGACCGATTCCCAGAGAAGCCATGAATGATTGATGGAATCTCTTGAATGGAAATGAATAATGAACAAATCACAAGATTTGCCACAGTAAACGTCATGTTCGGACAGTTTGACAGGGTGTGATAGATGTAACCTTTCTTATATGTAACTTGGCTGTCTAGGAATTGGATTAACAATGCATGCAAATTTAATGACACAAACTGCCATGTCAGCAAACTGCCAATGTCTAGTGTTGGAATGATAGCAAATACATGTGGTGTGAGCTGTAAAAGTAGGTGGTAGTGCTAGGCATTAACAAACCATTAATAATGTAGTATGCATCTTTCAATACAATTTACAAATTGAAATTTTGTACGAAAAGTCAAACTACCTTTCAGATTTGCTAAAATAAAAGACTGAAAAAAATTTAAAATGTTTTTTTCAGGCATTTCTGTTGCATGTTGTTACCTGTGTGAGAAGGGATAGTGACAGGTAAAACCTTCATGGTGACAGCTATCCTATTAGTCTGTCTCACAGTCCCTGAACCTCACTATTTTCACTTCCGCCCAGGCCTTTCTTCAATGCTAAACACTAAATGAAGCAAGTCTAGATTTCCTCAGGTTCTGAATCTCCCATCTCAATGGGGCTCCTTATCAAATAAAACTGATTATGTGTTTCTGTCAAAATTACATATATTCCGAAACTAAGCGTTAGCGTGCCATACTATGTGCAAGCAGGAAATGGAAGACAATTCTTGCCTTGCCATTAGCTATAGATCTGTCAGCGAGCGATGTTCACCAGTTGCTGTTCTCCGAGGTGTCAGAGAGGGCCTGGATGGAGATGGGGGGCTAGATAGGAGACAGGATGAGCAGAGGAGTGGAGTCAAAATACTCATACTCAAAAGAATCGTAGAAAAATGAACCCTGCACCCTACACAGTCAATGTCTCTAAATAGCGCTAGACTAACCGTGGAAGATGACGTTTCTATTTCACTGTTTATATTTCATGTCGTCTCCCAATGTTGGGCATGTTGACAGAGGCGAACATCAAAGCTGTTCAACTGTAAATCTTGATAACTTTGAAAACAGCAAATACGACACAGGATTTGGAGCCGACTGAGAGATATTTGAACGAGGAGAATCTTATAGACCGGACAGTGCTGTGAAGAATGTTTGAGACTAGGAATTTGCCTTCCCTAGCCATAACTGAAAGCATGTCTGCTCCTCTCAAACTCTCTTCGTATGTTTCACAGTGGAATGAAAAAATGTCAGAAACTGGCGGTGTGTCGGTCGTGTGATGCCCCGACACATCTGCCAATACAACTAGTCCAGACGCATCACTTCCGTAAATAAGATCTCTTGTGACTTTCCAACCTTTTCACGTGAACCACGAGATTGCTGAAGTTATGGCCATGACGCGGACGGAAGCAAACTTTGTTTAACCTATAACGATGCATATCGATTGCCGTCCCATTGAGCCCATGTACACATTGAGTAAATATGAATTGCGAATATCGGCTTTGCAAGGTAACAGGAGCCTAATCATTGAACAAATTGAAAATTGCTCCGTGAGAATTGCTGAAAAGGCTAACTTGGTATTTTCGCCCTTGGGGTTTCTTGGTTTCGGAAATACGGCACCGGTGGTAATCATATCCCGTACAACCGTCTGTTAATTCACTTAAACATGACAACGTGTCGTTACTCTGCTCGGGTCCTAGAATCTAACCGAAATTTGTCAGAAACCAACCGAAATCTCCCAGAAACCAACCGAAATCTCCTAGAAACCACGAGTTCTCAAGTGGCAGGAAATGCGAGGTGCAAGAAACGTAACGCCGCGGAAAGTTCATTGTTAAACATTCATAGACTCGTGCCTTGGACTTGTTGAACGTGTATTTACTTATCTTGGCCATGTTCCAATGTCAACTCCAATGACAAGGCAAACACTTCACGGAAATATAGCATTAGATGCCAACATAATCAAATAAACAGACAGAAAGGTTTGTGGTATATCGTGAACAGTCGTCATCGACGCCACAATGCTAATGTTACGATACAGAAACTCTCCGTAAGCGTACGCTACTGTACAAACTTCCGTTAAAATCTAAAGCCATTTCAAACAAGCTCACTGACAAACAGCCTTAACACTTTCAGATCAATACATAATGTAAATAGGATTTTTTGCAACTTGTCAAAGACCACAGCGTCGTCTATGGGATCGCAGAATGTCTTATATTTTGATAGCGGGACAGTGATTGCATAACAACCACAACCTCTATGGTGAGAAATCACGCACACATTGATGTGAAAGTAGATGGTTGAGGAGTGTTTGAAGGTGACGGTGCTTGAGTGACAACAAAATTGTCTAACTCTTGCGTAACCATCTTCAAGAAATTAATTATATTGACGGTGAAATTGCTGGTGTGAACGCAAGGAGAAAATGACTATGAATTATGTTCTTCCGTGAGTGCTGGACACCCCAGGGGGCATTCGTACTCTAATGGTCAGCTACAAGTTGTTACTGTCTAAACCAGACCCCTGGGGCAGTTCTCCCACCCCTAGCTGTGAAGTAACAATTGGCCATTCACACACAAATCATGGGTGTTCTAATATACTCGGACACTGTTCCGGGTCATGTGACAAAAACAGGTCACGTGATATAAAAACTGAAAATGGAGGTTTCGTGTGTTATAGCAATTATATGCAACAACCAGTAACTGACTCAACAGTTAAGCACCGAGGCCAACGACGAGAAAGGCATGTCACGTGACAAAAACAGAACTGAAGGTAGTGTGTATGGTTGACCCCGGTTTCACCTGCCCGATCGCGGATGCCATCACATGTTTTAGCAATCGGTGCTGTGATAATCGGATAACAGGAACAGCAGCAGAAAGGTGAACACTAACTTTTCCAACCTACGATGGCTGAGATGCTATTTAAAGGCATATAAATTTGCACCCCACCCCATTCTTCCCCCTACCCCTCAAAAAAAGTAGAAAGAGAAAAATCTATATATAAGTATAATAGAAATTAACCGTTCAACAAGTTCTGCAACATTTTCCTGGAAATGTTGCCTATCGTTGTGAGAGTCGTATGGTTTGTTATTAAATATTAATTGTGAATAATTATCAAATATTCTTTGAGCATGCTATCCTTACCTCCAATAATGCAGAGCGAAGCCGGGGCACTTATCGGCACAGTTCGAACATTGTTTACCAGGTTCCACGCCACTGATTCCAAGACGGGGCCTCTGAAATAAATACAAACAAACCGGGTTTTGGTTCAAATTTAACTTCTGTCCCACGACTACAGGCAACAGGTCACAATGGTACGAGACACGCAACATAGGAAATACCCTAAAAAAAAACAGCGTTCACTTACCAGAGAGGGCGACGGTTCCTCCCCTCCGACAGCCCCACCTACGGGGCTTGGGGGGAGACCGGACCGTCCCGGGGGGCTAGTGGGTTGAGTGTCCGCCCCACAAGTCGCCATAATGAAATAACTTTTGACAGAACTTGAGAATATAAGTTATAATCCACAGTGAAAATCACGAGTTGTACAAGCACACTGCTAGCATATCCATGAATGAGCAAACTTGTTCAACTTGACAAACTTTCCTGAATTCGTATCCACGTGCCAAGATGGCTTATTCTAAAAACACACAGAAATCGACAAACTTGCGGTCCGCACTCGTAGCATATAATCCACACAGAAACAAGAAAAAGCTTCAAGAAGTTCTTATCCCCTCTTCCCGTACAGGCCAGGTGATATGGTGTACTATGCTGTACGAAATCAAACTATTAGCCCCGCCCCCGAGACTAGACGCTTGTGACGTCACGAGATTGACAGGTGCGATCGATGCGTGAATGAAATGTACACCGCTGAAAGGGCCCGCGAGACGCCACAAGTGAGCGGAAATTGAGAGAAATTTAATTCCGCCGTTATACGGTATTATGCAACGTCATGACGACACGGCGGTCTAGGCTGAACTAGGCGGATCCTTGACGCCTCTGAATACACGGCCAGTTGCACTAGCGATCAAGCGTTGTGCTGCAAGCTTCGTCTGGCAGCGGGGCTCGTTGACGAGCGAAGAAAGTTTCATTTCGTGGGGTGATGGACAGTTGCCGCTTGTACACAGTCCTCGACCCACGTGTAAGCGTCACTCAACTCGGAGTGTGCCCTGGCTTGACAAATCACTCAAGTCTTCGCTCGTCCCAAAACACCCCATAACGGCATCGGTACTTCAACAATATTCGCGAAATTGCCTATTTCAAAATAATTTCAAGTCCGCATCCAAATTACATGGAATCATTATTTGAACGAAGCAAAACATGTTGTGATACACTCACAATTTAATCTGTGGACTGAACGATTCTTATGGGTATATAACGAACATGTTTTCATGCTGATACACCTATAAAAACATTATACTATTGAAACATCAAATTGATTTTTCATTTAACTTTGTTCACTTCAATGAAATTATTTAGAGAATCTTTTAAGTAGGACATTAATTTAAACGATCTAATACAACTTCAATTCAAATAAAATATATAATTTTTGTTAAGTTGATATCTACTTATCGGTTCTTTGTTAGTCAACCCTAACAAAGTACGCATTCAAACATAATTCAAGAAGAATGGACTGATGATCATTATTATTACTATTATCTAATTACCAGTTGCTTGCTTCTGGGAGGAGTGGCCTGGTATTGCGCTCACATTCAGGAGTACTTTTACGGGTGCTTCGGTGCACTGGTTCTGTCGCACGCGATGTATGGCAGGCGATGAAATGCCTTCTTTGTTCCGTTATCAGCCCGGGTTATCATTACTCGTTGTTTTGGATTAGCTACGTAATCTGACTTTTCAACACTGCTTGGCATATGCCACCGTTTTAAAGAAATGTTTTAATTATTGTTTTCGTCAGAGGAGCATTATCTTTAGAGTTAATGCATGTTAAACATATATTGTGCTTTTTAACCTTTGATTCAAACCGACACAACTGCATGTATTCGGATGATCGATAAGCGATACTGAATTGACGATAATATTGGTTTTGATTATATTTTATAAGGAAGTGAGGAAAGTACTGAGAATAAAATGTTGTTTTTTGTGTGTTTTGTTTGATTTTGTTTGATTTTTCTTCTTCTCTTTTTTGGTGTTTTTTGTTTGTTTTTCCTGGAGACTTCTTGACCCCATTAATATATTTGGAGTGACTGAGAGGCTATGAATATTATTCCATTTATACCCTGCGTGTTCGACAAGTGAGTGAGTGAGTTTGTTTTTTTAGCAATATTCCAGCAATATCACGGCAGGAACACCAGAAATGGGCTTCACGCATTGCACCATGTGCGGAATCGAACCCAGGTCTTCAGTGTGAGGAACGGACGCTTTAACCATCATTGCTACTACCCCACTGCCCCCAAGAACAGTATCGTGTTTGGACGAAAGTTTGAATAAATCCATTTAGTGACGTAGGTGAAACCCACGAGTATGGGTATTGTGCTGATACATTCATGTCGAAATCTGGGATTCGGAACCTTTAACCAACAGTATCATGATATCCCAAATAAAACGTATATTGAGAAAGCACTGTGCTGATACATTCATGTCAAATTTCATTCTCACAGTTTATCTGTATATACATCAGATTAAAATGGCTGTTGTTGCATACATCTGTAAAAATAATTGTGTTATTGCCATTTTAATCATAACGATGAGAGTTATTGGTAGAATTATGATCGTACACATAATATGTAAATGAGAAACATATTTCAAGTAACTCAAAGAGGAGTGAGTGAGTATGGTTTTAGCAATATTCCAGCAATATCAAGGCGGGGGACATCAGAAATGGGCTTCACACATTGTGCCCATGTGGGGAATCAAACCCGGGTCTTCGGCGTGACGAGCGAACGCTTTAACCACTAGGCTACTCCACCTCCCCCGCTTGATGAGAAAGTGAGTGAGTAAGTTTGGTTTTACGCCGCTTTTAGCAATATTCCAGCAATATCACGGCGGGGGACAGCAGAAATGGGCTTCACACATTGGATCCACGTGGGCAACTGAACCCGGGTCTTGTGCGTGGCGAGCGAACGATTTAACCACTAGGCTACCAAACCTCCCCAAGGATATATATTCTATATAACCTATGTACAAAATAGATAAACAGATTAGCGACACTGATTCATACTGATTCATATCATCTATATTGACCAAATCTGTTTCCCGGTCCCTGATCCATGTTATTTTACCCTTGTGCAATGCGACAGGCCCAAATGAAGCAAGTCTGGGTACTCCCCAGGTTAAGGGTCCCTCCACACTGAGGCTCCCTTTCAGTCTTATATTGGAACATGTATATCGGACAAGGAAATGGACAGTGTTTCATTTTATTGTTTTCGTTCAACGCGGGTCCTCGTCCATGTCCTCACGAAAACGTACTGATTACTGACTTCAACAACGTTAGGTGTTCAATTGTGTTTTTGTTACGATCTCTCGTGCTCGCCTCTTCATTGCACTGGAATAAGATTCAAAGTCACGATTCTACAATTACGCCCGAGGCATAGTTCAAACACAACTTGAGAAGACGTCACTCTCAGGAAATGCAACTTTCAGGTACTCCTTTAAGTTTGTGCCCGAAGTAAAGAGATTCTCAACATTCAAGGAAATTGAATGAATTTTATTTCAACTAATCACCCTGCACTGGAAATCCTTATTTGTTCTGGGATGTAAATATTTGGAACGAATCGGTCTCCTCGTAAGAGAACTACAAGCGAGAATGCAAACTATCCTCCTCTTTAACTAGTTCGTCATCTTTAGTGTTTTGCATATTAAGGTTTTGAAGCTCGGAAGGCTTTTAAGAAAGATAAAAAATGTGCACTGTTCAGCCGACACGGATAAAAAAATGAATGTCATCTCTCATTGTAAATGTCAGCCATGTTGCGACAAACAGATTCCCGTTTATTGAGAGTTATCCTGAGTAAATGCCAGTACGCCGAGGGAACCTCCCCACTGTTTAACATGGCGCAGCTACTCTTGTACACCACACTGGGTGGCATATAAAAGAAGGTATTTGATCAGATATTGAATGTTTCGGAGAGCAGATGACGCGACTAAAGGATGGCGCAGGGGGAATGATTCGGCTTACATAAATGTTACCAGTTTTTGGCGTGCCAGTGCGCAGTGTGTTTTTCATAACAGCACTTGCGGGTTTGTCGGTTAACTGGGTATCTGTGTTGCTTGTCTGTGAAAGCGTATTTTCTCCTGCGTGTAGTTACAACGAAACCAGTTTTGTTAGGCGGCGGCAATATATAAAACACTCTAATGTGACAGACATCGATAGAAGGAGCCCAATCAAATAGTCTCATTTGTATCTGGCGACTTCTATTTTTATGTGGTGACCAGCGGAAACCGCTTTTCAGCGTAAAGAAGAGTAAGTATATAGAGAATATCACCCCAGTGTCTTTTGATATCAAATATATCACCACGAGTTGATAAAGTAACAAATATCCGAGGCTTGCCGAGGATAATTTTACTTTTATCAACGAGTGTTGATATATTTGATATCAGAAGACACGAGGGCGAGATTCTATTTATCATCAAAAATCACTCTTCATTAGTTTTCAATGAAAAATGTACATCTCTGAACAGTACTGCCATTAGGTTTGCAGTGCAGTGATGTCATAGCATTGTGACGTCATCAAGTTCATGACGTCATAGCATTGTGCAAAATCTACTGTCAAAACGATATCTCCTAGGAGATATCGTCTGATCTCACACAAGCGATATCTCCTGTGAGACACAGTTTTGGATGATAAAGTACATTTGTAGAGCGCCTACAAATGTACCTCAAAGATGCTCAGTGGCGCTAAAGACAAATTATGGGCACAGACAACTTTACTCCAGTTAATCCAAGCTGCCTATAAGGCGCTTGAAGGTTAACAGTCATATGACCATCTTATCCCACCGGGTACCCATTCACTGATGCAATTCTGAACAAACTTGCTTGCCTGAGGTGAGACCACGTGTGTCACATGTGGTTCGTTGTGGAGCAGGACTGAAGTCCTAGAAAGTCAAGCTGCCAGACACGGTCACCCAAGAGTATGGTAGTTATGCAGTGTTATCGCCAAAACAAGAACTGGTCATACTTAGTGGCCATCTTATCCATACGATCCCCTCTTTAGTCAAGGGTAGCACCGACTGTACCCGTTAGCCTGGAACACTGTAGCACTACCGATAAGCTATATACGTTCATATGATAACCTTTAAACTCACCCAGTGATACTAAAGCTCTATCACGCGATCAAACCGTCTGTGACATCGGTACTTCAGCTAGTTCTTACGAAGCCTTAATACCGGCCTCGTAATCATGCCGCCTGTTTACGCAGGGTATTGCTTTCCGACATATTTCTTTTAATAACTGTTAAGTCAAGATACTCAGAACGTGAGAGAATAGGCTTCCGTGATATGGCCGCCATTGGATATCTGATTGCCTGATAGTTATCGCACTATCACAGGGGTCGTCTCAATAGCAATCTGGTAATATTTGGGAATCAACGTAGTCTTTTAACTGACTTATGTAATTTGGTTACGTATGAAAATGACCCTTTCCGTTTCAGGACTTGCGAGCAAAAGTCGCACTGAAAATAAGAAAATCCACCGTCGTAACACTTTTTTGTATATGTTTTTTTATGATTGCCGATTATTAGCGTTAAGTTTTTAGGTTCTAATGTTTTGTAATACGTGCCCTGTTTTCAAGTCTGCTCGAGGAATCGACTTTTGTAGATTACTCTATTGATGTACCGCGGTGAACGACCTTGACTTAACATATTGCAGATATCACATCAAAGGGAAATCATTTTTTCCGACTCAGAACTGTGTAATGACTCTGCCTGTTTAGGTTACGATGATGTTACTTTAACTGACGTGTCAATGCAGATTATAGAGCTAACTTTTGCTCCGATTCTGACAGTTTAGATCAAACAGTTATTCATTCTGATCAAGCATATGTCGACATGTTATGGTATTTTGTGTTAGATAGATGGGCTTTCATGTAAACTTGGATGGGTCATCACGGTGCTGTTCTACTTTGTAGTTTCTACAAGACTGTATATCCTACAGTTGCTTACGTTACCAACAACATGCAACATGCCCACTAAGGTTAAAAGCGTTTGTATGTTTCATTACCACGGCGGTCTGTAAATAACAGAGCCTGGGCCAGACAATCCAGTGATTAGTATTATGAG